TACATAAATTCTTTGCTCGCATCTTTCGGTTTTTCTACAAGTTCAAACCTCATTTTCATACTCTCCGGTGCTCTATATTTGTTAAGTCGTTTAGCATTGCAAGATATTTTTTTCTTCTCGTTTTTCATCGAACGCGCAGCATCGTAATTCGTAAAAACTTGATCTGGCGAATTAGTGGATTTTTTCTTAGTTCGATCGAAACGCGTCGAATCGACTCGTATGTAACAATCTTTGACGCGTTTTCGTAATGCAACATTACGTACATATACGATAAAGAAATTCATATTTCACGATCACGTTATATAATGTATGTAAAGCAATCGTCGTATCCAACCGACACTCGGGAGGAGGATGGCGCACGTAGTCGGTGAATGCAGTTGTCACGCTCTCATAGTTTTCAAGGCTGTTTCATTGAGTCAACGTCCGCTTCCGAAATTTTCCTTCTCGACCTGTGCGACCATGTTATCGATCGCCGAACGGGAGTGTCTCCTCGACGCGAACGTTCTGCACCTATTATGATCGTTATAGCGCGATCCACCGGGTGGTCGCTACACGATTGTGCAATAGTTACAACTACCTATTCAGGGATCTTGTAATCCAAGGACATCGCGTGTTGCGTAGCTCGGCGAAACGTTTCCAAATACAGAAAGACGATATCCTTTCGTAATTTTCTTTTTCGAGTTAGCTGGCTCGGTTTCAGGTTATTTCACGACCGGCTAAACGTGCTGCTGGGTGGGAGTTGTATATATCGATCGTCTTTTGGGGTGGAAATTTTCTAGGTCGCCATCTTGCGCCGACGTGTTCATTCGTGCTTTGAAAAATCAATGTTCGAACTTGGAACATTGAAACTGGAGATGATATCTCGGTGGTCGTATACGAGATACAAGTTTTCGTCTCACTCCAATTGTCTCGAATTACAGAAGAAAAAAACGTTACTCGAAGAAATGCGACTGTAGTCGTGTGGTTGACGAAGTGACGTTGGCGGCGCCACTTCACCGAGTCCCATTTACTTTATCGCTATTCGTAACGCTTGTTTTCTTGCTCCTTTTAATCTGAAAGTCGAACACTTTATCGTAATTGAAGTCTGTTTGGAATGGCGTGACAGGTTACGATACAGTCTCTCGGGCTTTCGGTGTAAACGTCGTCTCGGTTTCTAAAATGCAGATCGTTTCGGTGGTTCGAGCGGGCGGGGTGTGGCGGGGTACATAGAAAAGTAGAGTGCATAGATCGGGCGTAACGCCTTATGCTAATTAGACAAGATTGGCATTGCAGTCATCATTCCTATATATAGCGGTGACATTGATGACTCATCTCGCTACAGCATTATACATACGTTGCGTGTACGAGACGGCGGTGGGAGGCAGTAAGGTTGGACACTGTTCGCTTCCCACTAGCGATGCTCATATATGGGTAGAACGATTAATAAAAACACCTATCGTTTCCATGTAGGATGTTGCAGTTGCCGTAGGCGCGTGACAATTACCATTCCCTCGTCGCCGATTATCGGATAGCTCCACTTCCACCAAATTACAACCAAACAGAAATAATTGTATAACTCCAAGTCGAAGAAGGCGCGGGGCAGAGGGGCGGAAGGGGAGATAGCGCGGTAGTTGGAAACATTTGAAGTGAAACGACGCTAACGTTACGTGTAAACACTTCTGACCTACGATAACGTGATAAAACGTCACGGGGAATTAGACAGTAGCCTAGCGGTGTAGATTAGCGTCGAGGAAGAGATGGGGGGAGGGGGTTGCATCGAGGGGGAAACGGGGCAGCAACGGCGAGCAATGTCAGGTGTATTTGTTTTTCGTTCGTATCTGTTACTCGATTGGGTCGTTTTCATTACCGGTTGATACTCTTCGATTTTGATCTGTCGAAACTATCGCGTATATTGTACGTTTTGTAATGACGATCACACCATCTGTATAGACGATTGGCCGGTATTCTTGGACCGCATCGATTTCCAGAAATATACTGCAAGGTCTTTGAACTACGGTGAGGAGAGGTGCGCGCAGGCTCGAGACACGACGTTAGTAAGTAGGGAAGGCTGGTGATTTTGCTACGCGTTGCTTCGTTGCATGCTGCTGCCGCGGCGGCGTGTGCGCGCATTCGTCCGCGTCTCTTGCAACGAGACCACCACCCACCCTCTCCAAGATTCCGAGCGAAACACTGGTTTTCGTAATTAGTCTGGATTGGCGGTCGAGTGGTTATTCGTTCCCGCATTGAAAAAGCAAAAAGAAGAATGAAAGATGGAAGAAGTAATGAAAAGAAGAGAAAAAAAAAATACTTCCATCCTGGCGAGGGTTTAATGAATGCGCGTATTACGACTAATTACACGCGAGCTATTCACCGGAGAGGAGGTCGTCGAACTGCTCTCTCGGTCGATAATACGGAAGACTGAAAACGGATGTGAGGGTAATCGCGAAGAGAAAGCGGCGGCGTCTATTAGCAACAGCGGCACGGTACGATTTCCGTCTGGCGTGTATTCGCGTCGATCTAGTCTAGTCTATACTAGTTGAAATATAAGCTGGCCGATCGAACTTGGTAACGCGAAAACCTTATACGCGTGTAAATGATTTTGAGACTGAATTGTTGGTTTTGTTTGTTGCAGTTTTGGGAAATCATCAGTGACGAGCATGGCATCGACCCAACCGGCACCTATCACGGCGACTCCGACTTACAACTGGAGAGAATCAACGTGTACTACAACGAGGCATCCGGTGGTAAATACGTGCCACGTGCCATCCTCGTCGATTTGGAGCCGGGCACCATGGATTCCGTTCGCTCGGGACCATTCGGACAGATCTTCAGACCGGACAACTTCGTGTTTGGACAGTCTGGAGCGGGTAATAATTGGGCGAAAGGTCACTACACCGAGGGCGCGGAACTGGTCGACTCTGTCCTCGACGTAGTGAGGAAGGAGGCCGAAAGCTGCGACTGTCTGCAAGGATTCCAGCTGACTCACTCTCTCGGCGGTGGTACCGGATCCGGTATGGGAACCCTGCTCATCTCCAAGATCCGTGAAGAATACCCCGACAGAATCATGAACACATACTCCGTGGTACCGTCTCCCAAAGTATCAGACACTGTCGTAGAACCGTACAACGCCACCCTCTCCGTGCATCAGCTGGTAGAAAACACAGACGAAACGTATTGCATCGACAACGAAGCCCTTTACGATATTTGCTTCCGCACTCTGAAACTGTCCACGCCTACCTACGGTGATCTGAATCATCTCGTCTCCCTCACAATGTCCGGTGTGACAACCTGCCTCAGGTTCCCTGGTCAGTTGAACGCGGATTTGCGAAAGCTAGCCGTCAACATGGTCCCCTTCCCCCGTCTCCACTTCTTCATGCCAGGTTTCGCTCCACTCACATCCCGCGGCAGCCAACAGTACAGGGCCCTCTCCGTTCCGGAGCTTACACAACAGATGTTCGACGCCAAGAACATGATGGCTGCTTGTGACCCCAGGCACGGAAGGTACCTCACCGTAGCAGCTATTTTCCGCGGCAGAATGTCCATGAAGGAAGTCGACGAGCAGATGCTCAACATTCAGAACAAGAACAGCTCCTACTTCGTCGAATGGATCCCGAACAACGTGAAGACAGCCGTCTGCGACATCCCCCCTCGTGGCTTGAAAATGTCCGCCACCTTCATCGGCAACTCGACCGCGATCCAGGAGTTGTTCAAACGTATCTCCGAACAGTTCACCGCCATGTTCAGGAGAAAAGCTTTCTTGCATTGGTACACCGGCGAGGGTATGGACGAGATGGAATTCACCGAGGCTGAGTCGAACATGAACGATCTGGTTTCGGAGTACCAACAGTATCAGGAAGCCACCGCAGACGAAGACGCGGAATTCGACGAAGAGCAGGAAGCCGAGGTCGACGAGAATTAAACACCATCACCTACTTACTCTCTATTCTACTACTATTACTACTACTACTTACTACCACTATTGCTACTGTTACTACTACTACCACCACCTATCATCATCATCATCATCATCCCCCTTCGATCTCTCGTGCTTCTTCTTAATTCTGCCGTTTATCTCTTCATTTCGCATTCCCCTCCCCCGGCATCAATCCCTCTTCTCTCTTCCTCTCCTTTTACAGACTGTTCAGACGCGCTCTGTTTTCATCGAGTACTATACTACCACCCTCTGCCGCACTTGTTTGTCGTTCTCTCGTTTCTGTATCGTTTTTTCTTTCGATTTTTACCTTTTGCGAGGCGCGTCTTTGTATCCAGTGTATTAACCGCTGCTGCGGTCACCATCATCTTTGAATAAATTATTATCATATAAGTGTACGGTTTTATAAGAATCCCTTTATTATTGTCGCATCATTTTTGTATTTATCAAACGTACGTTTGTGTAGGCGCATTTTGTATTTATATCTGTTCCTTTTATCTATCCAACTTTTATACTACGACATATAGATCTTGAATAAAGTAGATCATTGAACCAAACAGTACCATTGAAAGTATCGTGATTATAAGCATCCAACAAACGCGTCGATAGAGAGTGACTGCGTTCGAATTGGAAATACGGACGTTGTGCATTTACAATCCTTGGTTGTATTTTCTGAGAAATATCGTTGGAAACATTCGCGAACGCAAATTTAAAACGCATCGCTTCTTCGTTCGTTAAACGCGTTAATAGGAGTGAAAGATAAATTCGTATAGTATATATATGCGCGTGTGTACCGCATACCCCGACGAAACGATAAAGGTAATCGGATCGTGCCGCCATCTGTTGTAACGATCATCGATCTGCTCGAAATGCCTTCTTGTCTGGCGTTCGAAGCGCCGTATCCTCGTGACTTACAGACTTATCGAACTCATACTTTAGATCTCTCGTGAAAATAATTCATATCGTGATCAATCGAATCGCATAAAAAATGACGTTAAAGCAACAGGGGGAAAGTTGTTATTCGGAGATGTGTAAATAAAATGCACTGTTTCGTACTCGATCGCAATATTCAAATGAATAGGGGTAGGTGTACGTTTGTGCATATGCACATTATACGTAACGTATAATACTGAAAATGGTAAGAATTACGATGGAATTTGAAGTTTAGTCGTTACAACAACAACAACGACGACGACGACGACGACGACGACGACGACGACGACGACGACGACGACGACGGCACGATTTCGATGGAATTTTAACCAGCCTGCACGAGTCTCGTTAACCGACTAACGGATTAAAGTAATACAGTTAAGTCAATGGAATCGGAGCACCACGCGACGGTCCACCGTATCTTACAGCGAAACTTAGCTCCAACGATAATCTCGCGATCCTAATCCATGATTCGTGAAAGAAATTGAAACGACAATTGTAAATCGACGACAGAAAGGGGTAGGTGGTGTCGGAGTTTGTAAAAAGTGAAGAATTTCGATTGAAAGGATGGCGAGAGGACTGTTTGCTGGTGGACGAGGAAATGTTCGTACGTTTTCTTGGACGAAGAGGCAGCAGGCAGACAACGACCCCGTGGCATAGAAGGTATGACTCATCGTCCGGCTATACGTAGCGGCGTGGCGCGACGGCCGGTGTCTCGCTCCGTGAATTCGATACAACTCGAGACACCGTGTACCAATCGAGAGTCATGTTCCATTTTGTCCTAGAATAAATACGCGGCTCGATTTTCCCTTCGACTCCAACAACGAACTTGTTTCGCCGGTGTTCGTCGGTGTTCGTCGGTACACGAAATCATACGATTATTCGTGTCGCAATGGTTTTATGTAATAAGAGAGAAGAAGCGGGCGGAAATGGAGGAAGAATAAAGATAAGTTATTTACCGTTTTTTCAGATCGATACTCGTAACGTGTTGTCGCGGAAGGTGGAACGAACGGGAAATCGTCCAACGAGGAACAAAGAGCAGAAAGGACCGATGACGCGAGACGGGGGTGAGATACAATAATAGAAAAAGGGTTTTTACAGCAGCAGGGGATCGTGAAGCGGTACGACGCGCAGCTGGAGACGTCGCGACGCGACGTTTCGTCTCTGGGTTATCGCGCTTCTTTCAACGTGACCAGCAACTAAGCGATGTTTCAAGAGTGACTCACGGGACGAAAAGGTCCCAGTCCTCTTTCGTCTTCGGACGTTTTTCTCCTATTTCTTTCGCGGCGGCAAGAAGAGGAATTCGTGGCACGCGAATTCATACGGATAAAGGAAAAAGTTGCGTAGATCGCGCAGCTCCCTCCTACCCCCCGTAGCGTCGGTTTCGCGGTTGGATTACATTTCCGGGGGACACGGTTGGACTGCATCGAACAGGACGATATCCTCTCGGTGGTTTTTTCACCGAAGCCCCTTTCGCTGAAAGAGGCCCGAAAGAGAATCGATCGATCGTGGTCCTTCGGGGAGCGCGAGAAACGGAAAAAGTCGGTGACCGGCGCGAGTGGTCGTGTCGCGTCGCGTCGCGTCGCGTCGGCCGGTTGGAGAGAATCTTCTCCCCCACCGCGGTGGTCCGCGCGGCGTGGCAGGCAGGCTAGAAGCGCGC